AGGCGTGTAATTTAGCCAAGTGTGGTGGTTTCCCTGGGGAGTTTGGCGTTGAATGAATATTGTAGGAGTTACATCACTCTAGGGTATAGCTACAACACATCAATGTGTTATAAAGGAGTCAGACGACTCACGCTAAGCAGTTACATCACTCTAGAGTATAGCTACCATACACCAACTTATTGTACAGGATTCAGACGACTCACGCTAAGCAGTCACATCACTCTAGGCTATGGCTACCATACACCAATTTATTGTACAGGAGTCAGACGACTCACGCTAAGCAGTTACATCACTCTAGGGTATAGCTACAACACATCAATGAGTTGTACAGGAGTCAGACGACTCACGCTAAGCGATTATATCACTCTAGGGTATAGCTACCATACACCAACTTATTGTACAGGAGTCAGACGACTCACGCTAAGCAGTTCATCACTCTAGGCTATAGCTACCATACATTAATGTAATATATAGGAGACGGACGACTCAAGCTAAGCAGTTACATCACTCTAGGGTATAGCTCCAATACATCAATATGTATTGTATAGGAATCAGACGACTCACGCTAAGCAGTTACATCACTCTAGGGTATAGCTACCATACACCAATGTGTTGGATAGGAGTCAGACGACTCACGCTAAGCAGTTACGTCACTCTAGGGCATAGCTACCATACACCAATGTGTTGGATAGGAGTCAGACGACTCACGCTAAGCAGTTACGTCACTCTAGGGCATAGCTACCATACAACAATGTGCTGGATAGGAGTCAGACGACTCACGCTAAGCAGTTACGTCACTTTACGGTATAGCTACAATACATCAAAGGGTCTGCCAATGCTGAAAATATAGATTCAAATTAAGAATATGTAATTTTTGTAATTATTGTCAGTAAACGGATGGACGTTCTGTTTTGAAAGTGCCATTGAATCTTTGCTGCTCATAAAATACTTTAATTTAATTAGGAATAATTTCTTTTCATTTTGCAGGGGACATATTTAAGAATTGTATCTCCTAATTTGAGCAAATTGTATCTCGGGTAATATCAAGATTTGGGGTAAATAATGTGTTGTTCTACCACGTAGAACCAAGATGCTCGAGTCCATTCTAAAATCAATAAAATTTATCACTATTTACACTATTTTAAAACGAAACTGTTTCATAAAATATGCATGCTATAATAACAAGTCAGAACCCAAGTCTTTACGTTACTACTTCATGAGTCTCCTGATACACGTGTCAGGTCGTAACTCGTGTCGTAACCCATTTCGTAACCGAAGTCCATAACCCATGTCCTAACCCAAGTCGTAACTCTAGTCTTAACCAAAGTCCTTACCAAATTTGCATCCCAAGTTGTAACCCATGTCGTAACCCATATCGTAACCCATGTCGTAGCCCATGTCGTAACCCATGTCATAACCCAAGTCATAACCCATGTCGTAACCCAAGTCGTAACCCATGTAGTAACCCATGTCGTAACCCAAGTCGTGACCCATGTCGTAACCCATATCGTAATCCATGTCGTAGCCCAAGTCATAACCCATGTCGTAACCCAAGTCATAACCCATGTCGTAACCCAAGTCATAACCCATGTCGTAACCCAAGTCATAACCCATGTCGTAACCCATGTCGTAACCCATGTCGTAACCCATGTTGTAACCCATGTCG